TCCCCATGGCCCTGACACCCTCAACTCAGCCTCAGTGCACTGAGGCCAACATCTAGGATCCTTTGAGCTGTGCCACCAGTGCAGGAGCCAGTGGGTGGGACAGGGCATTGATGGAGGTAGCTGAAGACCAGCCCTAGAAGGATGCTGAAGGGGCTGTAGGTCCCATGGCACCCATGGATGTGACGTGTCACCTGGCCTTTGTGGCCATGGATGGAACATGGCAGTGGTCTTTGATGCCTTTTGTCCTCTGTGGTATCTGCTCTGTCCCTCCTGTGCCCTGCAGTTTCTCCTGGCACTCAGGGATCCCCCTTGGGGCTGCCCCAGGGAGGAAAATGCTGTATGCCTTCTGTAAGCGTGTTGAGTGCCAGTGTGATGGACTGTCCATGAGCACCTTGGGTGCCAGGGTGATGGATCTCCATGGGCACCTCAGGTGCAAGGGTGATGAACTCTCCCTGAGCACCATGTATGTCTGGGTGATGGCTTTCCATGAATGTGTTTGGTGATGGACTCTGGAGCACCTCCATGCCATTGGGGCTGGGGGAGGCAAGTCAGAAGTGCTGAGATGTGTTCTCCTCTCCCAGCCACCCCCGTGGACATTCCCAACATGTTCACCTTCTGGGAGGACCGAAGGCCAAACAACCAGCTGGAGCCTTTGCAACAAATGTCCTTGGTACACAGCTCAGAGGACATACCCCTGCAAAGCAACCACAGACCAGGGCAGATCGAGTCCAGGCTGGAGCTCCTGCAGGCCCAGCTAAGCAGGTGAGCAGGTCCCCCAGGACATAGGGTTGGAGAGCACCCAGGGGGGCCCTGGGCCATCAGCTTCTCCTGCTCTCTAAGGGTGGCTGCACTGGGCTCTGTGTGCAGCAGGTGCCAGCTCCTGACACTCTGGGACACTGTGTTCCTTGGGGAGATGGTGGGAACCCTCTGCAAACGCAGCAGCTTCTCAAACTGCAGGTCCTGGCTCTGGTTGCAGTCCAGCCCCTTGTCTGCCACTGTCCCATCACCCCTGAGATCTGCCACTTTGCCACTGCCCCCAAAGTCATGAAACCACCCAGGAGCTCAGGACCCGAGCCTTTTGAGAGCCTCCTCTTCCTGTTGCAAAGAACTGCAAACATCCCCTTACTCAAGCAAAGGAGCCTGGTGCACAAGGTTGCCCTCCAAATAAGAAAAAAAACCACATCATTTTTGAATGAGAAGGAAGAGCCTCCACCAGAAATGCAGGTTTAAAGGCCCCAGGCAGCACCCAAGCCAGTGGCTACTTCTCCAACCCACGTTCATGTCACTTCACGCCAGAGCCCGCACAAGAATTCCAGTATCCCCCCAGTTTGCCATCCCCAGCAGCAGGGCCTGGATCTCTTGTACCTGCTGCCAGGACCATTGCCTGAGGCTGAGGGGTCTGTGCCTGCTCCTGGAGCTGCTCCTTCCAGCCCAGGACAAGGCAGAGGGAAGGGATTTATTCTCCTCTTCCATTTCCTTCTACTCCTCACTTAAAAATGGTTGGCACCAACCTGCCTCGCTCCCATCTGCCAGCCCAGGCAGCTGGCCTGGAGAATTGATCCAGATTAAAACTAACCATTGCAATTTTTATCCCCCTCGGGGTAGTTTTAGCTCCGTTCCCTTCCCCGCTCCAGATCCCAGTTTGGCTCCATGCTAAACTGGGCAGGGGATGGATCGAGTGTGGC